TGCTGGTCTTCGTAATCATGGCCTTCATCGTTATGTTTTACCTCCCATGTTACAGCTCACTACTCTGACCACCCCTACACCCGCTGCCTTTTCATCACAGCGCGGCCCCCTAGAGGTATGGACCCCCTCCCCGGGAGAGGACTCTCACCCCGAGTGGAATGCGCTCTGGTCATGGGGCCCGACGGAAAGCCTCGGGAGGCCGAAAACTGCCAACCAACAGATCATCCGCCGCTATTTCTGTCACGGCGCGAGGACGGCACGGCGCCAGGGCGCCCAAGAGGAGGGCGGGAGCGAGGAGGAGGGCGGGGATGTCGTCCTCGCCGCGCGCCCTCGGGGTGCCCGCGGGGGTTGGCGGGCGGAGGCGGCGGCGCTGCACGAAGGGAGAAGAGCGGGCCGGCTGGCGAGGACCGGGGCGAGCTCTAGGCGGCACATCGGCGGCGGGGCGTGCTTTGAAAAGAGGTGCGCCGCAGAGTCGGGGGGAACGAGAGGGGGGGGATAGCAAAGGGTAGGGCAGAGAATCAGCTCACGTGGCTGATTTTCCCAGCGCCTCCCGGTCATCGGGAGGCGCCCATGTATCGAGGAAGGGGCCCGGCGGCAGCAGATTTCGTACCCCCCCCTGTCGTTCCGCCCGACAGAGTGGGGGAGGACGCCGAAGGGCGCAACAGAAACGGCAGGTTCGTGTCGTGAGGTCCAGGGCGCTGATTTCGGGCACCGCGCGGGTCGCTCAGCCAGCCTCGGGCGACGGAAACATTTTCGATGGCGCAGGTGGATCGATGTCGGCGGCTTCTGGGCCACTGGCCGCGTTCAGCCAGGAACGTCCGCGCTGGGGTCGCCGCCGCGTCGCCACGACACGAACCCACCGTGCACCGACGCCGATTCTGGCCAGGCCCTTCCTGGTCCCATGTCCGCTGGGAACATCCGTGTGCGCCGATCATGGGCCCACGGGTGGCCTAGCCAGACTCTCAGGTGGTGTCAACGTTGGCGCCCTCCGAGGAAGGACACCCAATGCGTGTCCAACTGAAGACTGCCCATGGGCTCCGTGCCGTGGGCAGATCTCGCAAGCAGTGGAGAAGAGACAGATGCAGGACTCAGACATGCAGGGCAGAAGAAAGAGGACGACGAAACGAGATTTGCTGTGGGGCCGATGCTGGACACCCGGCCAGCTTGATATGCATGGCGATTCTCAACTTTCAACAGACAGCGCTACACACTCGGAGCCCTGCACAAAGATAGCACAATGGCAATGTCCTGGTTAGACACGACGGGCGCAACCAACGAGAAGACGGCATCGACCCCAAACTGAGCCGGACTGCAGGAGCAAGCCTGGGTGCACGCGGACAGAAACAGCCGCCAACGCAATGGCGCTGGCACGTGCACAGAAGCGAACGGAACATGACCAGGCTATGCAGTGCGGCGCGTTCGGTGTCGATTCCAAGTGAAAACGTCGGCGGCCGGTGTGCATACACGCCTTGTTGTGCAACACGTGGTGGCTTGGCGGGGCGGGCAGGCGCCCCAGGCCATCACCCCTGTAGCCCAAGCCGGCCCCACTCCTGGCCCGGTGGCCGAGATGCCTGCCAGCGTGACGCTTCTTCTCAGAGGACTTCTTGACCGCTGAAAACGCGTCGATGAAAGACGTCCGTGCGCAGGCACCGATTCCCCGCCGGGCCCACCCGGGGCCCAGGATCGGTGCATACGCCCTCCGGGCTCGGCCGGGGAGGCGCACACCCTGGCATCCTCCCTCCCTCCTCCGGCCCCACTCCTCCCTCCTCCCTCCTCACTCCCTCCCCCCACCCCCACCTCCTTCCTCCCCCCACCATTACTCACTATGAATACTACTCTCTCTTCTCTCCCTTGGGTCTGTGGCAGAATCTGTCTCGGAGTGTTCGGCCCCCCGCCTCGCGTATTGTTCCTTCCACACAGGATGTCCGCGAGTTGGGTTTTCGCTTGTGTTGTTGTTGTCACAATGCTGCTCTCGCTGAGGCGCTGGCCTCATTTTCGGGCTTCCGCTCGTTCCGAATCGTGCACCCGCTGCAACGCTGGCTTCATTTCCGCGCTTCCGCTCGTTCCGAATCGTGCACCCGCTGCAGCGCTGGCTTCATTTCCGCGCTTCCGCTCGTTCCGAATCGTGCACCCGCTGCAGCGCTGGCTTCATTTCCGCGCTTCCGCTCGTTCCGAATCGTGCACTCGCTGCAGCGCTGGCCTTATTTCCGCGCTTCCGCTCGTTCCGAATCGTGCTCCCGCTGCAGCGCTGGCGTCATTATTTCCAGCACCATGCCACGGCATGGTTTTGGGTCCTGCCAAATAGGACCCAAAAACTAGAAAATGGCTCCCCGAAGCAACAAACGGAAGTGATTACACATTTGGTGCCGATTCGTTGATTTTTTGGGCCGCAGAAGTCCCCACTTTGGGGCGTCAAACTACGCGTTGATCTTCAGCACCATGCTATGCCATGTAATGCTTTGCCCTGCTACGGCATCCGACTGTGCGAACAGAGAGGAGATCTACGCCATGGTGAGGGACGGGAGGGAGGGGCTGGACGCCAGATATGACGCGAGCACACCCACCTTGTCCCACCCCATCCCCCTCCTCCCTCCCTCCTCCCTCCTCCCTCCTCCTCCTCCCTCCTCCCTCCTCCCTCCCACCCCCCTCCCTCCCTCCTCCCTCCCTCCCTCCCTCCCTCCTCCCCCCCCCTGGATGGGGCCCCGCCGGGAACAAATGTGCGCGCCTCGCGGCGGCGGCCCTGGCGACACGGTGCGCGCCCTGCAGGCTGGCAGCGTGTCGCTCTGCTCCGCGGGACGGTCGGGTCGGGCGAAAGGGGGGGATAGCAAAGGGGGGCGTTGAGAATCAGCTCACGTAGCTGAGTTTCCCGGCGCCTCCCGGCGCCGGAGGCGGCCCCTCCGTGGGGCCGAAACCAGCTGTATGCAGCAAATGTCGTCACCCCCCCCTTGCCCAATCCCCCCCTTTCGTCCGGCCCGAGACGGGGGGCTGGGAACGGCTCGGAACGCTGACGCCTGGCGACTGCGACGCGCTGTGAGTGCAGAACCGGCGGCGCGCCACGCTGAGCAACACCGTCTGCTTGGAGTCCCGAAGCGGTGCGGTGACACACCGTGCGGCGACCTCGAAATCCCCAAAGACCTCACCGCAAGGTCCGTCACCGCGCGGTTTGGGGACCCTGCAGGCCCCTGTCGCCCGAGACGTCCTCGGAGAACGACCCGAATCCCAAAACCGTGCGGTGACCCCGAATCCCCACCGACTCACCGCACGGTGTGGTCACCGCTCCGTTTGGGGCCCCCCGAGTCTGACCGAACAGCCGTCGTCGCCGGGAACGGGCGCGCCCTGGCAGGAACCCCAGCACTTGCAGCGTAGAGTCGCAGTCGGCGATGCAGATTATGTTTTAGGACGCAACACACCCTCGGAACGCACCAGAAACTCATGTAAACCATATGTCTACACGTCGTTCATTCCTAACCGTGCTCAAGTCGAAGTGTGCTCGTTTCTAATTGTTCCTGGCCTCCTAGTGGCTAGGATGAGGCCCAGGATAGAGCAATCAGACATGAAAGGATCAAAGCCCCCCAAAAATCATAGAACTTTCGAATAATTAGGAATGAACAATGTGTAAGGTAATTCAGGGAACGGGCCGGACCTCCCAAAGCCCAAGGATGCAAGCGCGAAGGCCCAATGATGCGCGCCCGCAAGGGTTTCCCTGTGGCCAGGGAAGCCAAGAGCGCGCTACCCCCCCCCAGCGTGGCAAATCCATAACTTACCTGACCCAGGCCCTGTCGACATTGCGCCAAAGCTAACCTGACCCATTAAAGCTAACCTGACCAACGGCTCGGCGAAACCAGTGTCTCACGCGCGGGCTGTAGCAAATGATGCACCAGAATGGGGCGGCACAGCAATATGCAATACAAAAAAACAAAAGTGCACAGCAAGTGCAAATGCGCAGCAGCATCTTCCATGAGACATGTGACAGGCTCCACAGCAAGAACGACACGCCCAATGAAATATGCAGTCTGCGCCGAGGCAACAATCACATTTTCAATCAGACATCTGGCCTGCGCCAAGTCGAAAACGACATGCTGAATGAAGGATGTCGCCCGCGTCTTGGCGACACCCACATGTTCAATCCAAGATCTGGCCAGCGCCAAGACGAAAACGGAAAATCTCAATGAAGGTTGCCTCCAGCGCCTAGGCGACAGTAGCATTTTCAATCTGACATTTGGCTGACGCCACGGCGAGAGCGACATTAGCGCATAAGCGGCAGCCACATTTTCAATCAGAGATGTGGCCCACGCACAAGCGAGAACAACGCGTTCAATGACGGATGTCGCTGGCGCCTAGGCGGCAACAACATTTTTAGTCGGATATGTGGCCCACGCACAAGCCGGAGCATCATCCCGAGACAAGTAGCGCCAGAATACAGGTGTCACGTGCATGTGTCACGCCCATTCCGCGCGGGTCAAGCTCGGTGTCACCGAGGACCGGGTCACGTTGGGTGGTAGTCCACGTTAGGGGGGGGGGTGCAAGAATGGGCAGAACCGAATAGGGAGCAGAACATACACCCTCCTAGTAAGCACCCCGATAAGCGAAGCCGTTTCAGTAAACGCACCCAAGGAAGGAATCGAACAGGGCAGGACTGCTTAGTAGACGCCCAGGGCCGTCTAGTAAACGCCAATTGTCGGGGTCGGGGTGGTTCTGTCCCTCTTGGCCGAAGGACGCGAGGTGGCCCTGCGACACGGGCCCGTCCCCAACGCCAGCTTTGACTGCACGTGCTGATGCAGGACAAATCCGTTCCAGCGCGTTCTGGAAAGCTCTCAGGGCGTTCCAGAACGCTCTGAGAAGGCCGCGGCGCCCGATACATCCTCCAGAACCGCTGGATCTCAGAGATTCTCGATTTGTCCTCGCCCGATGTTATCCTCGTCCTGGCTTCGTCTTGCAGGGCCCACCCTGCGACTCGCACCAGGTGCCCTGGGCGCGCGCGCCGCGAAGCGCGAAAGGGCCTCGCGCTCACGGCCGTGCCGCCCGACCCCCCGGACAGGACAGGACAGGACGGGCGCCGATGCACTCGGGAGCGGCCAAGAGGGGGGTGTCCAAGAGGGGGGGGTGCAAATCATGGCCGGCGGCATGTGCGCGGCCCAGCGGGGGGACCAGGGACGTAACGAAATAAGAAGAGGCGCCATGAAATCTGGGGAAATATCATGGCCCCCGCCATGATATCCACCACCCCCTAGTGAGCACTCCCCTCTTTGCCGCCCCCGATGCACGCGGGGGGCGCCCCCTCCGAGGGCTCGGCGGGGGCGCCAGGGGGGCGGCGGAGCGACGAGGAGAGAAGTGCGAGCCTCGGGCGCCGGCCGCAGGGAGCGCGCCGCGGCTCCACCTCCGCGCCCCGGGCGGGTGCCTCGACCACGCCTCTCTGCTCTCGCTTCCGGGGCGCGCTCGTCCACAGGGGCGGGCGCTGCGGATGCCATGACAATGGACACCCTAACAGTCCTACCATTGAATTAACGATGTGTTTTGAATGTTTTAAGCCTGCTCTAACCATAATTACCACATGTTCTGCATGCTTAGGACATGCTTGAGACATTTTGTTAGACATCTGGGACTTCTTTGGCAGCATGCTTCCTCCCAGCTGATCGGCTTCCACAGGATTGGGGTAAACCGGGGGGGGGGGAGAAGGGGCACCCCTCCCCAGCACCTCTTGGGCCCGCGGTGGCAGGACGGAGGCCGTGCTGGGCCACTCTCTCGGGCCGCTCTCCTGCACTCCTCTACTGGCCATCGCTCGGACGTCCATTCCCTCTGCTTTTTCCCCATATCCTAAGATGGGGCTCTTGTTATTACTTGGACGCCTCCTACTCCCTCTCCCTCCTCCTCTTTCCTCCTCCCCTCCTGTCGGAGTTACTCATACTCAGACTTGCTCATACCCAGACTTGCTCATACACAGACTTACTCATACTCAGATACTCTCATACTCAGATCTACTCATACTCAGACCTACTCTTACTCAGACATACTCATAATCAGACTTACTCATACTCAGACATACTCATACTCAGGCAGATTCATACTCAGACCTACTCATACTCAGACTTAGTCATACTCAGACTTACTCATACTCAGACATTCTCATACCCAGACGTATTCATACTCAGACTTACTCACACTCAGACATATCCATACTCAGACTTACTCATACTCAGACTTACCCATACCCAGGCGTACTCATACTCAGACTTACTCATAGTCTGAGACTTACTCAACACACAGCAGATTGTGAGGATGTCTCAGGCGGGGCGCTGGTTTCAGCACCCCTAAGGGGAGCCGCCAGGGGTGGTTGCACGGGCTCGTTCGCGGCCATTTTGTGGGGATGTCTCAGGCGGTTTGCTTGTTTCTGGGCCCAACACCCTTCGCTTGGAGAGCAGATTGTGAGGATGTCTCAGGCGGGGCGCTGGTTTCAGCACCCCTAAGGGGAGCCGCCAGGGGTGTTTGCACGGGCTCGTTCGCGGCCATTTTGTGGGGATGTCTCAGGCGGTTTGCTTGTTTCTGGGCCCAACATCCTTCGCTTGGAGAGCAGATTGTGAGGATGTCTCAGGCGGGGCGCTGGTTTCAGCACCCCTAAGGGGAGCCGCCAGGGGTGAGCGATTTTGTCTCAGGCGGTTTGCGGGGCGCTTGGAGAGCAGATTTGAGGATGTCTCAGGCGGGGCGCTGGTTTCAGCACCCCTAAGGGGAGCCGCCAGGGGTGGTTGCACGGGCTCGTTCGCGGACATTTTGTGGGGATGTCTCAGGCGGTTTGCTTGTTTCTGGGCCCAACATCTTCGCTTGGAGAGCAGATTGTGAGGATGTCTCAGGCGGGGCGCTGGTTTCAGCACCCCTAAGGGGAGCCGCCAGGGGTGGTTGCACGGGCTCGTTCGCGGCCATTTTGTGGGGATGTCTCAAGCGGTTTGCTTGTTTCTGGGCTCCAACATCCTTCGCTTGGAGAGCAGATTGTGAGGATGTCTCAGGCGGGGCGCTGGTTTCAGCACCCCTAAGGGGAGCCGCCAGGGGTGGTTGCACGGGCTCGTTCGCGGCCATTTTGTGGGGATGTCTCAGGCGGTTTGCTTGTTTCTGGGCCCAACATCCTTCGCTTGGAGAGCAGATTGTGAGGATGTCTCAGGCGGGGCGCTGGTTTCAGCACCCCTAAGGGGAGCCGCCAGGGGTGGTTGCACGGGCTCGTTCGCGGCCATTTTGTGGGGATGTCTCAGGCGGTTTGCTTGTTTCTGGGCTCAACATCCTTCGCTTGGAGAGCAGATTGTGAGGATGTCTCAGGCGGGGCGCTGGTTTCAGCACCCCTAAGGGGAGCCGCCAGGGGTGGTTGCACGGGCTCGTTCGCGGCCATTTTGTGGGGATGTCTCAGGCGGTTTGCTTGTTTCTCGTGGCACTATCCTCCAACATGACATGCACTTATGGCCTTGTGTGGCTAAACGCTCGTCTTACATATCCCACTGCCAACTATCCTACAACATATGCACATGTGGGAAGCTCCAAAGCTACCACGGGCTGAAAAGGGGAAGGCCTGGCAGCTGAGGAGGGGGGATGAAGAGGAAGAGGCTCGCATTCAACCATACTCAAAGCTCACTCTGACTCATACGCAATCACTCGCATTAGGGGTCACTCGTCTTCGTCGGCCCTGTCGCCCACGTGGACGCGCTATTGTAGTCGACCGCTCATGAACAGACGCTCACCACGGCATGACATAAAGCATGAGATGCACATATGGGGAGCTCCACGCAGTGAGTAATTTCGGTTTCGTGCGTGGCTTTTTCGCCAAATGATCAAGGATGATCCTCGATGGTCCTCGCCCAAGGAAAAATGCACACGTCCGAGCGATGCCAGGTCTACGGCCGGAACTGGGACGGACGCACACCTCCTCCGAGCACAGGATGCCCTCCACCGGCCCAGCGCCAGAACATCCGAGGGCACCCTCTCCCCGAGCCGACCTCGCTCTCAGACCTCGGTCCGACTGCACGACCACCACCTCGTGGACTGCGCCCCCGCCGCGGAGCGCCCAGCTCTGGAGGCAGGGATGCTCCAGGCCCCCCCGCGCCATGACTGCTTGGAGCCCCGACGGCCTGGACCCCATCCCCAGGACCGGCCTCTCGCCCCGAGTCGTCTTCGGCGACGGCCCGCCACACGGTGCGACCAGGCAGCTCAAGCACGGCAGGTTCGTGCGGCGTCGGCACGCGCAAAGGTTTTTGGCACAGCCTCGATCGTGCAGCCTCGAGTCGCTCGCGGCCCCGATCGTTCGAGGTTGAGCTCCGTCGGCTCCAGCGGCGTCACCGTGTCCCTCGGTGCTTCCGCGTGGCAGAATTCAACCTTGAACGCCTTCGCCGGCGTCGCCGTCGCGCCATCGCCGAGTGAATGTGTTAGTTTTCATCTTCGGCGTTTCGACATTGAGCGAAAGGGTGGGGGGGAGGGGGTTCTGGCTCCGGAACTCTGCTTGATGCGACTGTTTGCAGCAGGGCGTCCTGTGGGGGAGGCTCCACCTGCTCAAAACAGACGCCCAAAACAACCAAGATCTACTCCAGGGGGGGGGGAAGGGGGCGGGGGGGTGCAAGGGCCCGCGCCGATCGTCGAGACAATGCATATATCAAAACGATCACGATCTGCCGCAGATCTCCGAACAGTGCTCGCGCCCAGGGGGGGAGTGCCCGCCTGCAGCACCGAAGACCTGGGAGGCGGCCCTGCGAGACGTCGCCGCGCTGCGGCCCCGTTAAGCCGCCCGCGGGGGGGCCCCGCCGAGGTTTCGCCACGTTTGCCGCCGCTTTTGGGAGGAGGCCGCCCGACCGCCGAGGGAGGCCAAATGCCGATGCACTCGGGAGCGGCCAAGAGGGGGGTGTCCAAGAGGGGGGGGTGCAAGTCATGGCCGGCGGCATGTGCGCGGCCCAGCGGGGGGGGCCAGGGACGTAATGAAGTAAGAAGAGGCGCCATGAAATCTGAGGAGATGTCATGGCCCCCGCCATGATATCCACCCCCCCCCTAGTCATCACCCCCCTCGTTGCCGCCCCCGAGTCATGCGGAAGCACAGGGATGCCCAGAGAGCCAGCTTCGCAGTCATCGTGTCCTCTTGATGGGCTCACGAGAGGCCTCAGGAGGGGCCCAAGGTAGCCTGTGATATGTCCACGAGGGGCCCAGAAGGGCTCCAGGAGGGTCTCGAGAGGGGCCCAAGGTAGCCTGTGATATGTCCACGAGGGGCCCAGAAGGGCTCCAGGAGGGCCTCGAAGACCCCGAAGAGCACTCCAGGAGAGCGTGCCAGGAGTCCCAGGATGCGATTCTTCGGTACGCCAGGGAGGCCCCCAAGGGGCCCTAACAGAGCCCAAAGAGTGTCCCAAAGGCTGCCAAACATGGCCACAGGAGAGCTCCAAGATAGCTCCAAGTCAAAGGCCCGTAATTCGCAATTGTTGAATTCTGTGCTTCCCTAGCTCCACGACGGCTCCATTACAGAGGCCTCTAAGATCAGCATTGTTGGCCTATCTGTGGTCACTTCTGTATGTATGATGGTTGGGTTGTCATGCGCCCCTTTTCCTGACGCGCTCCCCTGCGCGTAGTGTCTGGATGCCAATAGCCCGCGCATGCAGCAAATATGAGCAGCGCGGCGCTGACCCTTCCACGCGCAGCATGACTTCAAGGCGAGAACGAGAGAAAGAGAACACGACAACTGAGCCCGCCCCCTTGGACAATCCTCCTCCTCCTTGCTCCTCGCTCCCCCTGCTTGCTCCTCCTGCCTCTCCCTCCCCGCTCCCCGCTCCCCGCTCTCCGCTCCACGGGGTTCGGGATCCCGACTTTTTGTCCCCATATCCTAAGATGGGGTTCTTGATATTTCTTGGACGCCGCCGGCTCCAGAGAACAAGAACACACCCAGAACACAGACTTACGCATGCACAGACTTGATCATACTCAGGCTTACTCATACCCAGACGTGCTCATACTCAGACTTACTCATACCCAAACGTACTCATACACAGACTTACTCATACCCGGACTTCCTCATACACAGACTTACTCATACTCAGACCTACTCATACTCAGACTTACTCGTGCCCAGTCGCTCACATACACAGACTTACTCATGCACAGACTTACTCATACTCAGACTTACGCATATCCAGACGTACTCATACACAGACTTACTCATACTCAGACCTACACATACTCACATCTTCTCATAGTCTGAGTTACTCAGCAAACGGCAGATGTTTTGGATGTCTTAGGCGGGGCGCTGGCTTCAGAACCCCTAAGGGGAGCCGCCAGGGGGTATATCACGGGCCCGTTCGCAGCAAGTTTGTGGGGACGTCTCAGGCGGTTTGCTTGTTTCGGTGCCCAACATCGTCTGCGATTACAACAGATTTGGAGGATGTCACAGTCGGGGCGCTGGTTTCAGCACTCCGAAGGGGAGCCGCCAGGGGGTATTTCACGGGCCCGTTCGCGGCCAGTTTGTGGGGATGTCTCAGGCGGTTTGCTTGTTTCGGTGCCCAACATCGTCTGCGTCTACAGCAGATTTAAATGATGTCTCAGGCGGGGCATTGGTTTCAGCACTCCTAAGGGGAGCCGCCAGGGGGTATTTCACGGGCCTGTTCGCGGCCAGTTTGTGGGGATGTCTCAGGCGGTTTGCATGTTTCGGTGCCCAACATCGTCTGCGATTACAGCAGATTTGGAGGATGTCACAGTCGGGGCGCTGGTTTCAGCACTCCGAAGGGGAGCCGCCAGGGGGTATATCACGGGCCCGTTCGCGGCCAGTTTGTGGGGATGTTTCAGGCGGTTTGCCTGTTTCGGTGCCCAGCATCGTCTGCGATTACAGACGATTTGGAGGATTTGTCAGTTTGGGCGCTGGTTTCAGACTTACTCATACCCAGACGTACACATACACAGACTTACTCATACACAGACTTACTCATGCTCAGACTTACTCATACCCAGACGTACTCATACACAGACTTACTCATACTCAGAGCTACACATACTCAGACCTTCTCATAGTCTGAGTTACTCAACACACGGCAGATTTGTTGGATGTCTCAGGCGGGGCGCTGGCTTCAGCACCCCTAAGGGGAGCCGCCAGGGAGTATATCACGGTATATCCCGAGCCGCCAGGGGATATATCACTACGGCATAAGATAAAACATGGGGTGCACATACGGGGAGCTCCACGCAGTGAGTAATTGCCTTTGGGGGTTAAGCCGGTGGTGGCGTGAGTGGTGGATCCTCGTGAGGTCCTATGCGCCATCCACCGGCTAGCCGCACTGTTCGAGCACGCACCTTGCGAAGCCGCGCGTCGCATCATCACCCCGCTCCCCGCTCCCCGCTCCCCGCTCCTTGCCGCCCGCTCTTCGCTCCCCGCTCCCTCTCCCGTGCCCCATGCCACGCGGCCAAGAGCCCCCCCCCCCGCCCACGTCGCCGCGGTCTTGCCGGCGCCAGGCCGCCGGCGCGGCTCCGCGACTACGGGGCGGCGAGCACCGCCGCCGCCGCCAGGAGGGGGCAGCCTCCCCGGGGACAGGACCGCCCCCCCCCCCCCCCCTCCCCTCCCCTCCCCTCCCCTCCCCTCCCCTCCCCTCCCTCTCCCCCCTCTCCCTCCCCTCCCCTCCCCTCCCCTCTCCCCCCCCCCCCCCTCCCCTCCCTCCCTCTCCTCCTCCTCCCTCCCCCCCCCCCCCCCCCTCTCTGGAGACAAAGAGAGAGAGACCGCAGCAGCTGGGGAGACGTGCTAAGGCTAAGGCTTCGGGCTGCGTACGGTGCGCCCCGCCGGGCCCACAGCTGGCCTCGGCAGGCTCCACGAGCAGCCCATGGGCGGCCTCGACCCCTCGGCCCCCGGGGCGCGGAGCGCCCCGAGAGCGCCGCCGGAGGGGGCGCCAGGGTGCTGAGGCCAGCTGGGGCTGCTTGGGGGTCCCGTCGAGGCCAGCCTGGACTGCTCGGAGGTGTTTTTTTTTGGTGCGCCGCTCGAGGCCTCACCAGGGGGACAGGACACGAGCCCCAGCGACAGTGTCATGAAGAGTCTACCGAAGCCCTCTTGGGGCGAGACGCACGCACGTCCGCGAGACAAAAGCATGCTGAGATCGGGCCGGGCGAAAGGGGGGGATAGCAAAAGGGGGCGTTGAGAATCAGCTCGCGTAGCTGAGTTTCCCGGCGCCTCCCGGCGCCGGAGGCGGCTATGTATCGAGGAATGGGCCCGATCGGTGGGGCGCCGAAACCGGCTGCATGCAGCAAATTTCGCACCCCCCCCTTCCCCAATCCCCCCCTTTCGTCCGGCCCGATGAGAGGCAACAGTCCTCAACTCGCACCAGCGCTGCAGCCGGCCCGTGGTCGGCCCGCTCGCACCCCCTGCCCCTCCGAGGAGGCCCCGGCCGAGCCGACGGGCCCATCTTCGGACGGCAGGTCCGCGGACCCCGGCCCAGGAGCGATCCCGACGAGAAAACGAAAGAAGAACATTACCCAGAGATCCAACGCATTGACAACATCAAGATAACATGTTTCGCAGTTTTCGGCCTCTAGGGGCCCTCGCCGGGCCCCAGGACCGACAAAAAACGATTCAGGATGAGAAACCGTGCCTGGGGAATGGGTCGAGACTTCTGGGGACCCCGTATGGAAAAAAACACGACATCGGATCTGTGGGTACACCAAAGAAAAACCCCAATCAACGGATGGTTTTCGCTGAGGAGATCGACCGGGCACCCGGGAGACAGGGAACCCAAAACCCCACCGAGATCGGCTCGGAACCAAGAACCGGGAACCCGGGAACCCGGAACCGGGAACCCGGGGACCCAGCCTGCTACCAAAATCGGCGGGAAACTTTCGCCAAATCTTTCAATTTCCGCTAGGACCCCTTCAGTGCAAGCACCGATTGGGAAATTGCGAACATTGCACGAGAGACTCGCGTGCTGGCCAAATGGCGGAGAAAACTCAGAGAGGAGCTGCAGTGATACCGCCACGCGAAGAAAGCCAACTGCTATGTAGCACCCCGCAGCCGCGGATAAGGGTGAAGGGGCGGGTGCGGAACGGGTCGCGGGTAGGTCGCGTGTGGGTCGCGTGTGGGTCGCAGGTGCGTCGCGGGCGACTCGCGTGTGGGTCGCTGGCTGGGTCG